TCCTCAATATGTCGTGCAGGTTCAGGCTACCGCTAGACCTCAGCGAGGTACTACATAAGCAGAAAATACAGTCATCGCGTCGTCTATGGGCATGCTTACAAGCCCATGTGGATGATGCGCTGACACGTGAGCCAAGTGTTCGCGCGTCTAGATCGGCGCTAGGTGGTGAATTCAATCCAGTGCGTCACAACATCGACGCGCCTCATCCCCATCCCCGTCGCACGGTCGCCGCCCGCATCAATCCGATCGCGAACACACTCACTCCCTGCGCATATTTCCTAATACCTTAACACACTCGCGCTGGCGCCTTGCTACAATGCCCCGCCCACCACGATCGAAAGTCGCGTCGCGCGTCGCGAAACCCACCAAACCGAAAGCTGCCCCCGCGCGCAAACAGGCGGCGAAACCCATCCCAGCGCAAACCAAAAAGCTCAGTGAGGCAGCCAATAGTTTCAGCGAAGACAGCGATGGCCTCGTTACCAAATCGAGAACAACGCGTTCGCGCAGGACTCTACTGGGGGAGAAGACACCGGAGGCTCAGGACGAGGCAGAGCTCACCATGACTGGCGCGCTGCCGGCTGAAGAAGACATCCCTGTGTCATCGATTAAGAACCGGACTCCTGCATCGAATGCATCAAAGCGGACGCGGGCCACAAGGAGCAGTGCCAGGAAGTCCGCAGCACACACATCGCCAACTGCCATCGAACCAACACACGAAGAATCGCAGATAGAAGAGGATAGCGGTTATGGCGACTTGACATTCTCTTCCCTTGGCTCGAATTCACCAGCTCACGGCACCCGCCCGCCATCTGCCATCAAAGTCGGCGCAACACCCGCACACGAGAGATCGATCCTTGCTTTGACCAACTTCAAGCGCAGAGCACGGCAGCCAAGCTTGTTGCGCATGGTGCAGCAGACTACGGACGTGGAGGACAATGATCAAGACGACTTGGACAACACGGACAATTTCGACTTTGACGACTTCCTCCCCCACGCCGAATCAACACCTCTCAACGTGCGGAAGCAGGTACCGGAGGAGGAGACACGGAATGATAGCGGCACTCAAATCTCAAGCTCCGGTTCCCGTGGTACAAAGCGCAAGCTGTCGCCTGTAGTCCAAGTGCCACGCTCTTCACCACCAGTCAGTCCACAGTCTGGCGGAGATGTGGAGTCGGAGCGGTCACACTCCCCGAGCCTACCAGAAGTACTGCCGACACGTGAGGAAGTCATCGCGCAGACACAGGAAGACGATGAACCCTTGAGCGAGACGCTTGCACCTCCCATGTCAAGTAGCCCGGAACGCGAAGTATCAAAGCCGCCTCCAACCCCAGCGCAAACGCGACCACGCAGGAGAGGACGGCAGGCCAAGACACCCGTGGTGGACGAAGACTCTGATGGCGAGGAAACAGAGACACCTGCAAGGGCTAAGCAGAGGGCTAAGAAGAAGGCACAACAGAGCATATCCACCGCGCAACTCAAAGAATTGCTACCACGTCGGCGCAATCGCTTGCGGGATCGCGATGAGTTTGAGATCGAATCGTCGGATGATATTGAGCAAGTGGACTCGGATCAAGATGAACTACAAATGCCAACACGTCGCGTTCGTCAGAGACAGGGGGCTGGAAAGCCGGCATCGCCAAAGGCAACAAAGAAAACAGGTCGCGCCAAGAAGACTGCACCAGCAAAACCAGCAGGGAAGTCGAGCCGAACGTACGGTCGCAGGATTTCGTCGGACAAGGAAAATGAGACAGCAGACCAGAACGAAGCAGAGACCACCGAAGTCTCAGCCATTGAGCAGTCTGAGAAGTTGGCTGCTATCAGAAAAAAGTTTGAGGAAGTGGACGCGTTTGAGCTGGAGTTTGAAGATGTGGATGCGACGACCAGCTCGAGCCCGTTCCGGTGACGGACAGGCCAGTGGGTGGGTGAGATTCGTTCTGTTCGATAGTGTGTCTTTACTGTTTCTCGTTCTGTCGACCATGACGACTGATGATGATATCCGTGGGTTTAATACACGCACATGGCGTTTGTTTGCGTGTCGCTACGCAGTAGTGTTATAGTACATGACAATGCACGATCTGTATCCAAACCATGAAGTAATGTCGTGAATGCATGGGGTGACCGAGTCAGCTCTGGCCTGAAGCTAGTCGTTATCTGGCCTTATCGTCACACGGCGCCCAGGCAGTTTGAGAAGTCACGGAGGGGCGGTGAAAGTCGAAGAGTACCCACTACTTACGTATCCAATTCATCTTAATCAATCGTGAGCCTTCTGCATGGTGCCTAGGTGACTTGGCATGGGTCGTTCTGACGGTTCGGCGGCACAGTGCACGGGCGTGTTTGAATGAAGGGGTGTGGTACTCGGGGGTTACGTAGCTTCCTTCCCCAGCTGTTGACCCTCACGATACCCGAGCAACCTAGACACTGCGCTTCCGTCCTTGCTCCTGACGTCCACGCCATGTTCCCGTAACCCCATGTCATGCGGCTTCCCGACCACTCCAATCACTTGGCCTATGCAGCACCACCGTTACCCACTCCGCCTGGCGTCCGCATGCCATGAACCCCTCCAATGGCTCCTCGCTGTCCACGTCCAAGAGCAACTCGACACTGCGCCCCCGCACCCGAAGACTGATCTCGGTGGAAGATGACATCTATGCGACGAGTGGAAGTGAGAGCGGACCCAGTAGGGCCACGTCGAGATTGAACTCGCGGAATACATCTCCCACCCCGAATGCACGCACGGGCGGCGCTTCCTCGTCCCGTCTAAACGTCACTTCTGCCCCTTCGTCCTCCTTCCAAAGGTCCTCGGGCACCTCGACCCCGAAATCGCCCTCCCAAACACTTTCCGGCCTATGGGGAAACTCGCTGGCGGCTATTCAGGGCATTGCCGCTACCGTCCTGGCCAGTGACGGTACCTCGGACGAATCTGGAAATACTCGCAGACGTAAACCGGGCCATGGGCGTCGGACGTCGACGAGCGCCCCGCCGCCGAAACACTGGGGTCCTGCAGGCGCAGGCTCGCATGTCGGAGCTGGAACACACGAAGAGAGAGAGGCCATGGTCAGAGCGATGAAGCGCAAAGATCTACTGACCGCCGGTGAGCATCTGGTACCGGACTCTGTCGGCCGCATAAAGCGCAGGAATTCGGATGAACGGATCAGCGCTTCCGCACCTTCCAGCGAGAACGACGACCGAGATGCACTTGTATACATACATCACGTTCGCCCGCAGGACACGCTGGCGGGACTGAGCATCAAATACAACTGCGAGCAAGCTGTGCTACGGAAGGCCAATCGTATGTGGCCGAACGATAGTGTACAGATCAAGAAGCAAGTCGTCCTGCCAGTAGATGCGTGTGGCGTAAAAGGGAAACGAGTCCAAGGCCCGGATGCTCTCCCTGCCGAAGATCTATTACTGGGAGAGTACGGCGAAGATTCGAATAGCAAGGCTCCACTTTCAGATACTCAAGGTCTCCCTAACGGCTGGACCACGCCAAAGAAGAAAGACCAAGAGAACGACTCCGTCCCCTCATCTGACCCAGAGACACCATGGACACATGATTCATGGGTTCTTCTGCCTAATGACAAACAGCCCACACAGATTGGCCGCATGCCACGAAGAGCGCTTGGCTTCTTCCCACCCGCTCGACGAAAGTCTCTCGCGTACTCCGACGCATCGACCCCCCGGGCTTCCGTCGACCTTCCACGCTCGTCCACCTCCACAAATCCGCTCACTAGCTCTCCCTCGCAATCCGTTCGACCGCGCGCGTCAAGCAACCTGTCATCCGCCTCAGCCCACAGTCGTCAAAGAAGTACATCAGGCAAAGCATGGGGTCTGCAAGGCCCAGGGGGTGTCGGTACAATGGGCAGGAATGTGCGAAGCCCTGGGCCTGCGCAGGATGGCCTGAACAAGAAATTCGCTCAGTACTTGCCCAATATGGCTCCTCCACCCGGACAGGAATACTTCACACCGTGGGCGCCGGGTTTGCTGGACGCAGGTGCAGGAACATCAAGTCAGTATGGCGGATCCGGTGCTGTCACTCCGCTCAGTGGCAGCGGCCTGGATTTCCAAGAGCTTGGGGGTGCTATAGAAGGATGGGTAAGGAAGGTCGGTACACAAGCACAGAAGCTTTTGAATGAGCCGGGCACACCTGGACAGGGGAAACGCAGTGCCGTACCTGTCCTGGGAGCTGTCGGCGGTGATCTGGGCGACCTCATAGAACTCCAAGATGATGCCTTTGAGATTGGAGATGACGAAAGGGACAGGGGCAGATCGAGGGCAGAGGAGACGCTTGCGTCGACCAATGAGCGCTCAGTATCGAGACCAGCACAGCAGTATCAGTCAGCACGACCAGACATCAATCTCGTCCTGAGAGATAGGACGCGAAAAGGGGAAGGCAGCAAGAAGGATTAGACAGCATTGTGTGAATAAGGTGTAAAGGTCTTGGTAGCAACACGTGCATAGCATGTTGGCTTGCTTTGGGTATCGAAGCGTTTGGCATTTCAGGGCATTTGCAATATATCATTCACAACCCCACGTCCATGTTCCCAAATTCTGGTGGCTTGCTCCTTATGCCCGTTTTGTTGCTGATGATGTTGGTTGCGAAGACAGTTCGGAAGAACTACAACAAAGCTCTTCGTCGGGTCACCGAAGGCCGTGCACCTCCACATTGGATCCGGACTAGACAGGCGGTGACTTATCGCGCCACTGTCGCTGTGAGGGCCGATTCCCATTATCTACTCGAATTGCGAGAGCGATATATCTAGATGTCCGCCAGAAGCGCATTAGGCAGGTGGTCATCTGCTCTGCTGCGGCATAGATCGGCATATGAAGCTGCTCCACTCCGACGATACCTCCAAACCACGCGATCACCTGCAACGTTTCTCTCCCAGGACGACCGTCTTTCACCAACATCAACCTTGACTGGAAAACATTATATCAAGCAACATTCAAGGATAGGCCGATCTCTCACACCTTCAGCTACGAGAACAGCCGCATTCGCCACGATGCATCGCTCCCCCGCCGCCATGTTAACGAAACCGATGGCGGACCCAAACATCGAGATCCGCACTCCCAGGGATCCCAACACCTTGTCCAACTATCACAACTTTGTGACACGGCATACCAGTGTAGACTTCGATATCGACTTCCAGAAGAAGAGGTTATTTGGAAGTGTGGTGCTGACGTTGGAGTGCTTGACGGATGAGGATGTGAAAGATGTTGTGTTGGACAGCAGGTATGTACACATTCTCTGCAAGACTGAATGCTTGAAATGCTTTACTAAACAAACCTAGCTTTCTTGACATCTCCGTTGTAGAAGTCGAGGGCAAAAGCGTCAAGTTCAACGTAGGAGATCGCGTGGAACCCTATGGCAGCCCTCTCACCATCTCTCTTCCTTCCAAGGTTCCCAAAGGCAAGACTGTTGATGTAGAGATCAAGGTCGCAACCACTGATAAATGTACCGCGCTTCAGTGGATGACTCCTGCTCAGACCTCCAACAAGAAGCACCCCTACATGTTCTCGCAATGCCAGGCCATCCACGCACGTTCAGTCTTCCCTTGTCAAGACACTCCAGATGTCAAATCGACATTCAGCTTTGCTCTCCGCTCGCCCCTGCCGGTGCTTGCTTCAGGTCTGCCTACCGGGGCAAGTGACTACCTGCCCCCGAAGAAGGATGGTGAGAGCGGTACCATGAAGTACACATTTGAGCAAAAGGTTCCCATGACTGTCTACCTCTTTGCTGTCGCGAGTGGAGATCTAGCGTGCGCAAGCATCGGGCCCCGCAGTACGGTATGGTCTGGTCCTGAAGAGCTCCTTGCATGCAAAGACGAGCTTGACGGCGAAATCGAGCCTTTCATGAAAGCACTCGAATCCATCGTCTCGCCCGCCTACCAGTGGGGACAGTACAATGTGCTCATCCTGCCTCCTTCATTCCCGTACGGCGGTATGGAGAATCCGGTTTGGACTTACGCCACTCCCTCTATTATCTCTGGCGACAAGCAAAACGTCGACGTCATCGCACATGAGCTGTCACATTCATGGTCCGGCAACCTGGTTAGCGCAGCAAGCTGGGAGCACTTTTGGTTGAACGAAGGCTGGACAACGTATCTGGAACGCAGGATCGCTGCTGCTCTTCATGGAGAGGCACATCGCCACTTCTCTGCCATCATTGGTTGGAAAGCTCTGGAGCAAAGCATCGAGAACTACGGCGAAGACCACCCCTACACTAAACTTGTTCTCGATCTCAAGGGCCAAGATCCTGATGACGCCTTCTCTTCCATTCCGTACGAGAAAGGTTTCCACGCCCTGTACCAATTTGAGCTGCTTCTCGGAAAGAAGAAGTGGGATTCTTTCATCCCCCATTACTTCGACACTTTCAAGTTCAAGTCCGTTGACTCATACGACTTTAAGAGTTGCCTCCTAGAGTTCTTCGAGAAAGACGCAGAGAGCAAGCAGAAGCTGGACAACTTCGACTGGGACAAACTGTTCTATGCACCGGGATTCCCTGTCAAGCCAGACTTTGACCAGACTATGGTAAAGAGCTGCTACGAACTCGCAGACAAATGGCAGGCTTTGATCTCCTCCGAATCCAACGACTTCAAGCCCCAAGCCTCTGACATCGAAGGCTGGGTGTCAAACCAGTCCGTGGTCTTCCTCGAGAAGCTTCAATCTTTCGCTTCGAAGTTCTCAGCCGACAAGGTACACCTGCTTGGTGCGACTTATGGCTACAACGACACTCAAAACATTGAGGTGCTATCGCGCTACCTCAATATCGGGCTCATGGCCAAGGCACAGGAGACTTACGAGCCTGCAGCAACATTGTTGGGCAAGATTGGGCGTATGAAGTTCGTCCGGCCCATGTTTAGGCTACTGAACGAGGCGGATCGCGATTTGGCGGTTAGCACGTTTGAGAAAAACAAGGACTTTTACCATCCGATCTGTAGGCAGATGGTAGAGAAGGATCTTTTTGGAGAGGAGAAGAAGTAGAGACGGGTGGAATCATCAAGAAGTAAAAAATAGCTACAGTGATGTAAACATAAGTAAAGGCTACATATGAAAATGGAACAAGTGCAAATGAAAGTAAATTTGTTATTGACTTGTGGTGTCGCTATGTATCTCATGCCAAGAAGTCTATCGACATCGGCACACCGACAGCTTGTGACTATCGCACTTCCATCACTTCCAGCCGTCGGAGCAAACACCGAAACAGAACACCAGAACTTCGGCCTTGCATCACCGAGACCGGCCTACCTCATCCCGTCACCATCTCGCGTCGAGGCAACCTGTCATTCTTACCCCACCGGCATACCGCATCCGGCACTTCCGATCCCCGCATCCCGCAATCCAGATTCTAGCTCACATCCTCTGCGGCGTCACGGCGTCTGTTTAACCCCTCATTCAACCGAACCGCCGACACAACGCCCCCTGCCTTTGCCAACCACTGTCGCGAATCGTATATAACACGTTGCCTCCTCCCGGCCGCCCAAGATGGCCCCTCCCAAGCGCGCTTTGTTCTCTCTAAACCTCGATACCGACGCCGACCACGTGTACCAGAAAGTTGAAGACCACAGCAAGGACGGGACAGATAGAGTCAAAGTCATTGAAAGCAAAGGACCAACACACGGACATACTGATCTGAGCTACGTGACGAAACCGTTTGAGAAGACTGTCAATCGCGCGGTCAACGAGGTCATTGAAGGAAGTGGACGCAAAGTACACTCCGCAGAGGGTCACGTATCGTATTCGACAAACAGAACGGAACGACGAAGTGGTGGAACAAGAAACCAAGACGAAGAAGAAGAACGCGATCGAAGCCGCTTGAACGTTGTTAGCAAAACGAAAAGAAGGAACATCGAGAAGAAGTACGATACTTCTGAACTTTAAGAACTTCCCTACACCCACGCAACGCGTACTATATCAGCACCCACCATGTCATCGGACCAGCAACCCCTCCGCATAGCCATCGGCTGCGACGACGCGGGCGTTTCGTACAAGAAAGCCATCATCAAAGACCTCGAAGCCGACTCGCGCATCGCCTCCGTGACCGACGTTGGCGTACCTGAAAACAGCGACAAAACCGCATACCCGCACATCGCCGTCGATGCCGCCAAGCTCGTCGCAGAAGGCAAGGCAGACCGCGCAGTTCTCATCTGCGGTACCGGTCTCGGTGTCGCTATCTCTGCGAACAAGGTGCCTGGCATTAGGGCTGTAACGGCACATGACTCCTTCTCTGTGGAGCGCGCCATTTTGTCGAATGATGCGCAGGTGCTTTGCATGGGTGAGCGAGTTATTGGCATTGAACTCGCCAGGCGGTTAGTGAAGGAGTGGGTCGGATATCGGTTTGACAAGGGCAGTGCGAGTGCGAAGAAGGTACAGGCCATCATGGACTATGAGAAGCAGAACTACGCGGGGTTGGTCAAGGATCAAGCCGACGCGAAGGGCTGTTAGGGTATTCATGGATAGTTCATTTTTGTTGTAGAATATCATTGTTGATGTCACGCTCGATGTTATAATCTTCTTATACATGGCGAGTCCTCTCACGCGATAGCACACATCCGCCGTCTAATGATCCGGCGTACCAAACTCCCAAATATCCTTCTCATACCCCTCCGTCAAATCCTTATCCTGCCCATACTTCTCCTGCCACATCGTGAAGCCTCCCTGAAGCACATAGACCTTTTGCTTCTTGACCTGTGTCCCGCTAGGTCCTTTCCCCCCTTCTTCCTTATCAACCGCTCCACTCTGTTCCTCAACCTCGCCCTTTGATTCCACCTTCGAGGCCGGATCCAATCTCTCCTTCTCTCTCAGATATCTCAATGCCGCACTGGGACCCCGTTGCTGCGATAACGCGCAGTGGAAGATGACGACTTCCTTGTCTTGTAGTGTGCGGATCAGCTCGGGAGTTTTGTAATCGAGTTGCGACGAAGGGACCCAGGTTGAGCCTTTGATGTGACCGCCGACGTGGTCGCTGTCTCGTACCTAGATCGAGGGCGCATGGTCAGTCTTGTATATATCAGGGAAAGGTTCGTGTAGGAGTGTTTTCTCACGTCGATGACTGCAGTGTTTTCAGGCAGCGATTTGCCGGAGGATTTGAAGTCGCTGGCGAGAGACTCGCGAGTCACGAATTCGAGATCCGAAAGGGATATCGTCGACATTGTGCGGGCGGATGTGTGAGGTAATCGGCGGAGGAGAAATGTTCGTGCTTGGATCGCAGCAGGATGCTGATGGCACGATCTCGCTGCGCGGAGAAACTTGAGAGAATGCAGCGTGGAAGTTGTAAAGGAGCGGACGATTGTCAAGGGCGGGACGTGTACCCGAGTTGCAGAGCGTAGAATGCGTGAAAGTGAGTTGGAGGGGTGGTGGGGTACGCGTGGGGAGCTACGTCGCGTAGACACGTGTGTGCTCCACCCAATGGCCAGCTGCAAGTGACATGCTTGGTTATGATGGCATACGCTCTAGACCTCCATGTGGTTTTGCCGTAGCACGTCAAAAGCTTGGAAATGTCGTGATATCGTCCGGGCATGTACAGGCGCACACTTTGACCATTGCAGTGCAGATAACAACAGTTTGTATTAATACAAGACGCGAGATGAATAACCGCTATCGCTATCAGAACCAATCGTGACTATGCTACATGCCAAAGAAAACGCCGAACCACCCAACAGTCATCCTGTGGTCTTATCTCAGAGCTTAATCGTGCTTCGCGCCTCCAAAGTTGCCGTTACCCATGCCGCCCAGTAAGCCATCTTTCTCTCCCAGCTGGAAGTACGCGCCGGTATTTCCAAACCTTCTCTTCCGCCTGCTGTTGCCGAATAGTGTCGCGGCAGTGAAGAAACCGACGAACATGCCGAGCGAGATGAAGGGATGGTTGTTGATAAAGTGACGAGTGGAGAGGTACATGCCAGTAATGCGACCAGTGGTAGATTTGGCGGCAATCTTGGGCGGGTTCGAGGTAACCATCTTGATAGTTTCCAGGATTGCGGCGCGAGAGAGGCGGATAGGTTCGCCGGATACGGTGCTATCCCAGTAGCGACGGTTCTATACGTGTTAGCAAGATACGTGTGAGCGAACCCGAGTGACTTACATCTTCATCATTGATGATGACGCTCTCGCCGTCCTTGACATCGACACCGTATGTGGTCCGGATCCAGCGTTCCCAGAAGATACCGTCAACCCATGCGAATGCGACTTGAGTGCGCTGGATATCATCCATGTTGATTCGGATGGATTTCGCATCTCTGAGTGCTCGCTGGTTATCCTTGTCCTCGGCTTCTTCAATGCGCAGTTGCTTCGCGTCGCGAAGCTCCTGTCGCTCAAGCTGGTAGGCAGTGTCCTGCTTGTCAATCCACTCAAGAGCCGCGCTCTTCAACTCACGCTTAGAGAGGATGAACTCGTCGGAACGGTCGCGGTTCAGTATACCAAGAACAACAAACTTGCCATCCATGATCTCGCGGGCATTGGTAGATGTCATCTCTGGGACGATGGGCAACCAAACAGATTTCATCCAGGTGAGGACCTTCTTGACGTCGCGCATTTCGAATGGTGTCCTGGGTGGGTAGTACGTAGGCTTTCCGTCTCTTGAGACCATTAATCTTGGCCAAGTGGAAATCTTGAAGCGGTCAAAGAGCTCCTTGTCATTTGTCTTGACCAACTTTGCGCGGCCTACAAGGCTGAGAGGAAGCCGCTCGAGTGCCTGAAAGTCTTCCGAGGTGGTTGCGTGGTCGTAGAAATAGGTGAAGATGACTTCTTCCGTCTCCTCCATCTTCTTGAACTCTTCAGCGTTCACATCAGGCACGCCAGAACCGATCGCCGAGGCCTTCTCCGCGTAGTCAAGCAGATCACCAAGTCCACGGAGACCTCCATACTCAATGCGCTCGCCACCTTGAAAGAAGAGCATAGTCGGGTAGCCTCGAACACGGGCCTCCTTGCACAACTTCCTCTCCACATCGCAGTCAACCTCACCAATGTTGAGCTTGCCCTTCATCTGTCGCGCAAGGTTCGCCCATGTCGGCGCAAGAGCCTGGCAGTGGTGGCACCATGGCGCGTAGAACTTGACAAACCAGGGATCGCGTGTATTTGTAACGAGCTTCTCGAACGTCTCGGCGGTAAGGTGCTCGACGATGCCGGACGGGTTCGCATTCGAGGTGGGCTCAATCTTTGCAGGCGCAGCCTTGGTCGTTTGCGAAGCTGAAGGTGTGGCGCCGGCGGCTAGGTTGGTGGCTGGGCTCGCTGCCTTCTTGTCTTGGGCTTCCGACTTCTTCTCTTCCTTGACAGCCTCCTCCGTTTCCGGGCCAGTTTCTACAGATGTTGCGCCAACTTTGGGGAGCTTGGGACCTCCCTCCTTGCGTGTACCCGGTCGGAGAGTCTCCAGAAGTCGCTCTACCCAGGAACTCATGCCCTTCATGTCCTTGGAGCCTGTCTCTCTTTCCATCTCTTTGCCGTCCTGAAAGTAGATCATGGACGGATAGCTCTGGATGTTGTGCTTCTTGCAGATATCGGCGTATGCGACGCAGTCGACCTTGGCAAACTTGAAGTCATAGTATCGGGTGAAGGAATTCAGGGAATCGCCTTCGGGCTCGTCTTTTGAGAGAAAGGGTTTCGAGGTGTAGTAGAATTCGTAGATGGTCTGGTAGGTGGGCTTGAAGTGCATGCAATGGCTGCAGTAGGGCGAGAAAAACTCTACTATCCTGCGGAATGTCAGTATACCGTGATTGATCTACAGCTGTCTCCATACCAGTTGCCTTCGCTGATCTCGGTGTCTATGGTGGCAGGCCCAAGTTCTATCATGGGCGGCACCGTCTCGCCGTTGAATATTGTGTCTGGCGTCTTGTCGTCCCAGTCATCCTTCTTGGCGGTCGCCTGGGCACTCGACGTGTCGGCCGCAAGTGTGGAAGCAAACGTCGCCAGCGACAGGAGGGAATATAATATAGAGCGCATCGCGGCGATGGCTGAGGGGCGGGCTGCTCGTGTGAGGCAGCGGTCCGCACGCGAGGGGACAAGGAAGTTGTTGCGTATCGGGGGCGCGATTGGTAGAGATTGTAGGAATTACAGCGAGCCTGTGTATCACGCAGGCGTGGCGGAGGGGACGTCGCGCGTGAATGAGGGTAATCGTGTCTCCAGGGCGCATTGTCCCTGAGCCATGGGACGCTTACTAGCCAGGGCCCGCCGCTCCGGCTGCATATCGCTTGGCGGGCGCATCTTCGTCCTGACGGCATCACCACTGCGAAGCACCAATTGCGCCCCCGCCCCACCTCGCACACTCCCGCCAACATGAGGGCAGCTGCACGTCTCCTCGCCAGCGTCAAGCCCGGCCAGTTCCTCGAGGCCGGCACACCCACGGGTCTCACAGGCCTGCTCACCCACCCGTCGCCGCGCTCCACCCTCCTCTACCACTACCACTCCACCCTCGACAAGCTGAAGAAGATTCCCGAATCCTCCATATACCGCCAATCGACCGAGGCCCTCACTAAGCACCGCCTAGCCGTCATCGAGCAGGCTACGCCAGCAGGATGGGATGAGTGGCAGCAAAAGGTCGCGCAGCAAGTCAGCCAGGACCCGACAAGATATCAGGCCATCGACACAACAGGCGGACAGACCATTATACTCCCAACCCAGCACGAGGTCGATGAGCGGTCAAAGGCTGCTGAGTGGGACGGTGAGGCCGTCGAGACCTTCCCCGAGGGCATTCGGTCCTCGAAAGAGCGCTTGCCCCATGCCAAGAAGATGAAGGGCGATGTCAACTACACGCCCGAGCGGGCAGTCGCCGATGTCAAGTTCGACCCTGAGCCGCAATACACTGCCGAAGCGTATGTCATGCATGAG